TCTAGTAACAACCAAATCTCCATCATCATTAGTTCTAACATCTAAACATGCAATAATTCTACGAGTTAATCCACTTAAAGTAGTTTCAACATCAGATTTTTGAGTTTGAATATCAGTAGAATGAACATTTGGTAATTTTTCACCATTTAAGAAATTTTTAATAATTTTCAAACCTGCAAGTCCCGATTTTTCAGGATGAAATTGAGTTGCAAATAAATTACCTTTAGCAATAGAAGCTAAAAATTTTTCAGATCCATATCTGGCAATGGCAAAATCCCAACCACTTTTAGTTAATTTTTCAATAAGTTCATCATTTAAAATAGCAGCATAAGAATGAACAAAATAATACTTATTAATTGTGTTTAATCCATATAATGATTTTGTTTTATCTAAAGATTTCCCATCAACAATAATATCTAATACACTATTCCAACCAATATGTGGTACTGATTTTTTCAAACCATTATAACTTGGATCATTTACATTGAATTTAGATAAACTCAAATCAACCAAACCTAAACCTGGTTCATTTGGACTTTCTTCAGAATCATTCAAAAATGCTTGTAAACCAACACAAATCCCCATTAATGATCTACCATCATTGATATATTTAGTAATATGAGATGTTAATTTACGAGCATGGATTTCTTTAACGAAATGTCCATAATTTCCAACCCCTGGGAATAATAATTTTTCAATTTCTGAATCATATTGTTTGAATTCTTCTTCATTGTGAATGAATTTAATACTATAATCTGGATCAATTCTTTTGATTGCATTAGAAAGTGATTGCAAATTACCACTTTCAACATCTATAATATGAACTAACTTGGTCATTGTGTCCAGATAATATCTTCTTGTTATTATTGTTTGAATTAAAGAAAGAAAAACCTGAATGAAAAATTTCTGTATCAATTAAATGGAGTCAATTTTTTTTTCTGTCTACCACTCAGCTCATTAGCCGCCATCTTCGCGTTATGACTCAGACTTCTAACAGCATCACCTCTACTATAATCCTTCTTCAACTTACAATCAAGGAAACAGAAGTAGTTTAATCTAAACTATCTCTATATTTGTATACTATACTACCATAAACTAAATCTCTATGTAGGTTTGACGGCTCGAATATGAATTGAAAAGTGTATACTATCGAGCAACTCGGATTTGAATGTTTCACCCACTTCAGTGAAACTATCACAATACTCATCAAACCTGCCAACAACTTCAAATAATCTCATACCAACAAATTTGATTGTAAAACCATTAACGTCCAGCGCAGAACTTAACAAGGAAATATTAAACTGCACATTACCTTTACCGAAAATAACATTCAATTCTTTCAATATTGTTTCTGTAAATCTAGGAATAGTATCAAAAAATTTCAATACTCCGAAATCCTCATTCTCAAGAGTTTCAGGAAATTCACCATTTTTAAATCTCTTGAAAAATTCATGAATATTTTTAGCTCCATATTGTAAACAATCTATAATTAAGGTCCCGCCTGGTTTAAGAATACGATAGAACTCCGACAATAAAGTTTTGTATGTTTTAACAGTTGATTGTATTGCTAAATCTGGTGAAAGCACGGCGTCGAAAGACTCGTTTGGGAAAGTCGCCAATGAAGAATTATAGTATTCAAAATTCATTGGGTTTGAATGAAAAATTTGTTGCAGGATCAGGCATTTCATGACGATTAATCTTTGCATATTTTGGAGATTGATTATCAATGGAGCGGTGAAGCTTGACTAATTTATCCATACTTGTTTTCTCAAACTCACCATATGATTTAAATGCGAGCTTTTTCATATAAGTATCAAACAATTCTTGATCAGATTCGGTAAAATCCAATTTCGGAGTAGCCAATTCCACATTACGATACTGATCCAAGTTTTCAATCAAATTTCTATCTTCCGTATAGACATGAGTTTCAATCACTCTTAAAAATGGCATACTCAAAGACATGTACCATGCATATTGTATCAGATTGGATGAATTGAAAAGCAACACCTTGACATTGTCCAGATTTTTGGATCTGACATTTGTTTCATATCGGTAGAATAATTTTTTCAAGATTCTCTTATCAATCAAATGATTATTGTGATATTTGGTCGTGATATCCAATCTGTACTTTTCTAACAACAAATATTCATAGGCTACTTTGGTGATAGCTTCAATCAATAATTTGATACGGTATTGGACAATATCAGCACTATTGGAATCTGGGGACTGTTCTTTCTTCAATAGATACATCGCGTTTGCTGTTTGACTAAACACTTCCTTGAATTTGTAGATTTTCTTTTCGATATCGTTTAATTCAGCGACATTGACATTATCGGGTAATGCTGCCACATATCGTACAAAGTTAATAAAGTTGCATTGAACCAATTCTTCATGATTACGCCATGCCTGATTGTTTGAACGAATTTTTATCAATTCTCGTAGAACGCTTCTCATTGGACCATACAAATGGTAGGCAAGAACACTATCTGCCATCATGAGCCCATATGAGGAACCAAACGAAAGTTTGTTACCTTGACTAAGAAACTCTTTGGCATTTTTCTGTTTGGAAATAAATTTCATAAGCAAATGAAATCTAATACTGGAAATACTGATAGCATCAGCACTTTCACATTCATTCAACAAATCCAAGAAACTGTTATAACGGAAAACTTGGTAATTCGGTGCAACAAAGTTCCGTTCAAGAGCGTCTCGGTTGTTGTACACGGTTAAATCTATATTTGCTTTGAATGGAGGGAGTGTTTTCATTGGCGGCGGTGGTGTTGGAGTAGGTGTGCGGAAATTGATACCTCCTGTGTGTTGTTGAGTTGATGGTGCAGAAACTGGTCCCGGCGAACTTGTATTACTAGGGTATTCCGGGAAATACCCTTCTTGTTTACCTGATGATCCTGGGGATCCTGATGTACCGGGCAGGGATGCTAGACTTCCTCTTCTTTTACTTGAACTTCCAAGAAATGATAATTTTCTAAATGAAAGACTATCCTTCGTTGAGTGAGTCCCGGAATTCTGTGACGTTTGACTTAACCCAGAAGAAATCGACGCATTTCTCTGAAACACTTGATTTTGAATGTGATGACCAGATGGAACCGAGCCACTTGATATCACTGAACCAGATCTCCGTCTGTTAACTGGGGATGATTTTGAAAATGCCGTAGCGGTAGGAGTAGCGACACTTCTATTCAGACCGCCTGTCTTTAGTGCTTCTCCATACCTAGATGCAATGATAGTGGCCTGCTCGTTTATCTCTTGGCTCCTCTCCCGTGGGACGTGTTGTTCAACAGGATCAACTTGAGCTGATTCTTCAAAATCTGGTTGTCTAGTATACTCTTGTTTAAAAACGGGAGAATCAGATGACTTTTTAGACAAATTCGGAGAACTGAAAGATTCTTGTTGATTTTGTGGGGAGGATGTTTGTTGTTCGACAGGTTGAGTTTCTTTTAATTGAGTTAAAGGTTTAAAGTTGGAGCTTGATCTAGAGGTTCCAGGGTGAGTTGAGTGCTTGCTAAGGGTTGAGGTGGTGGAAATGATTGATTTATTATCATCATTATCTGGCAATTCACCAATAGTGTCATGACTATGCTTCGAACCTGTCGAACTTCTTGTGCTTTCACTTCCACTACTTCCATGTTTCTTCTTTCTTTTGGCACGTCTTTCTTTTTCCTTTTGTTGTTTCTCTAGCTTCTGTTGTGTCTGATAGGATACAGAAGGTACCACGAAATAACTCATGATGACACAATATTATCTAATCTAACTGGATTGAATGAATAAGAACGTTTGTATATAATTAATAATTTGTATAGCTGTGGGTCCAGACTATCTAGATTTATTTTCCCTAGAATATTTTTTTTTTTTTGTTTGATTGATTGATTATTTTGTCTAATTATTTCCAGGTGAAATTATCTGCAGATTGCCTGTGAAAGTGGGGTGTTGAAACGGGAATAGTTTTAAAGTGTATGAATATCTATTCGTAGATTATATGTATCTAGTAGATTGTACTACGATGTCTAATATTGATTAATGTAGTTCGATTGGGTATTTACGTATAGATGAGTTTAAGAAAAGAAGAAGAGATAATTTATTTCCATTTCGGTGATTTATGTAACCATCAAATAACCGAAACCAAATAAAAAATAAAAAAAAAAATTATCAAATTGTACTGCGAGACACAATTTTTTTGTGCAATCAACACTGTAGAAAAAAAAAATCAATACGACAATGAAGTTCGGCACTGAAACTACTTGTGACTGTACCAAGAGATGCCCAAATAATTCCGACAACGTAAATACGCATCAACATCTGTATTTGTCATCCTCTTTTTATTTTCTTGTTAAATTTCACACCGCCAGTACTGATGTCATAAACCTTGGCGTAAGTACAGTAGATTCATAAAGATAAGGTCATCTTATAATAATTACTGCCACGTGACTGATATTGCAAAATCTTGATATTATTTTTGCACCAATCAGAAAATGACTTGAAACATTCATCGTAACCCCAGTGGATACCACCAGTGGGGAGATGTGAGCTGCTAGATCCTTTTTTTGTTCTAAAAAAACAATTTCATTTTATAGTATTGTATTGTACACCGCCATGCAGCTGAACGAAGTTGTATGCATGTCGCTGTAGAGTCAGTCCAAGTTTTTGTGTGTAGCGCACGGCAACAGGGAGACAATTTTCTTTTCTTGAAATAATAGAACAAAAGGGAATATCTACGGGGGAACATTTACTGCAATTGTCAAATATTTCAATTATCAGTATTCGAATGATGGTTACCAATGACCCCTCGAGGAGTCAATCAGAAAATCACCCGTAAATGGTTGATGTAATAAAAGCGGTGGAGAGATCCCATGACCTCATCATCAGATTGTATCATCAAATGAAAAACAATTATTTTCTTGTTCATTGTTTCAACAGTTATAATATCAAATCAGATGTGAACTGCATGTATACTCCCATATTTTATTCTTCATAGCAAATGTATTAAGCATAGTTATTCCATATTGTTCTCAATATGCTGGATTCAAAGTGGGATGAAATTCCTTGCTATTTATCACCCTCCCCTTCTTCGTCGATAGAAGGAGCATATATTAACATGTACTTCCGTCTTGAAATTTCATGTATTTCATTTCCCATAGTAAATTTATTCAGTACATCAAACAAATACAAATGATAGTCGATATTCAAAAAAGAGCTTGGGTGCATTCAAGATGGTGGTTATTCTGGTTGTGTGCTTGGATTCCAATTATTCTCTTAATTGTATTGATGGCTGTGTTGCTTAGCCGCAGACGTAAGCGCAACCAGCATCCCCCAGAAGAATACAGATACAATAATTATAATGAACATTATACTCCACCACCACAATCATATGGTCAAACACCACCGCCACAACAACCATACATGCAGCAACAACCATACGGTCAACAACCATACGGCCAACAACCATACGGCCAACAGCCTTACGGCCAACAACCTTACGGTCAATCACCACCACCTCCACCTCCACCTCCACCACAAGGTCAGCAACCTGGATATGGGTCAATTAATAACGATCAAAAAAATGTTCAAGAGGAAGGTACATATACTAATCCTAATAAAGAGACTATATATGCTGAACCAGAAAGTCCACCACTTGCTCATACAAAAGAATAGTTTTGGACAGTTGTTGTGATATGGTTTTTGCTAGTCGGTTGACTTTATATATGGATATACTAATCTATAAATCATATACGTTTTCTTGATTTTAAGCTTTATGATAAAGAGAAATGGGAGCCTCTTTTCCGTAAATCTCTCTCATATGAACTACATCGTTAGTATTCACTTTAAAACGAACAGTTGACTTATGTCTTATTTCAGAAATTAGGCTATGAGAATTTAAAGTAACTCTCAGAAATGGTCTAATAATGACGTGCAACTCCTTGTTTAAACTCAGACGCGCGAAGCGTGTTTTTACAGTGTGTTAAATTTTTCAGTCTTCCCATTTCTCCTCTTTCTCCTCTGAACCATTGTCAGATTGCTTCTTAGCAAACGTTCCTCCCCCCTTGTTGTTTAATATCAGTTTAATATCAGTTTGGATATATTTTTTTATTGTGGAGTAGAATTTCTCGAGTAAGTACATTTACTGTGTTAAATATTTCCCCTTGTACAACTCATAATCGTTAAGCAAATTTTCTAAATATCCACAATTTATCTTCAAACCAAAAGAACATTTATCTAAACCAATAGACAACTACCCATATGAAACGAGCTAATACAGACAATCAACCAATATGTTATATTCCTTCAACTACATCGATTAATCTTCCATCCTCAACTCCATCATCATGTGTACCCCAGATGCTGTTGAAGAGACTAAAGCCACACTTTCCAACCAAACCACCTACAAATTTCATACCCTCTAATCAAGCAGAAATCATTTCTCGAGACATATTGCAAACACTCGATATTATAAGTCCCATGAATAATGACGAAAGTTATTTCAAGTATATTTTCTTTTTAGGAGCCCAGGGTAAAGAGTTTATTGCATCAATTCAAGAACAATTCCCGTTTAATATCCCTGTTTTATTTATAACTTCCAATAGTTTCGGTTGCACTAATCCACAATGTCAAGAATTAATGACTTATTTTGGAATCAAGGATCCATTGGGTGGTGGTATGTATCCACTAGATTATCTTCTTATAGTCCATGACGACAAAATTCACTGTAAAGTTCCTATTAATTTTACCGGTTCCAATAATAGAGGCAACAATTTACATGGTGGAATACCTGGTCATTTAAAATTCAGCGTTGGATTAAATGAACTACCTTCATTGATTGAAGAGTATATAAAGTATAAATAGAAATATACACACACATCACTGTAATAATGCAAGTTTTTCTTGTTCAAGGATCTTATACTGATTTCGTTGGTTTTCAATCTCTTCTTTGACTTTTTCTATATATACTTCCAATCGATTCAATTCATCAATTTCATCTGGTCGAATAAATTCTTGATCTCGTTTATTTGGATTCAGTAATTTGTAAGGAATCAAATTAACTGGTTTTGATGTTAATATTTCAAATGTTTTTTCAGTTGGCTCATTAAAAACCAATTCATCATAAAGTACTGAATGCACTTCTCCATTTTCTTTAACTTGTTGAGGATTATATGGATGTAATTTTAAAGCATGAAAAATTTGAAAATTTTTCTCATTAATACCTAATTCAACACCAGGATGGAAATGTAGTTTAATAATTATTTCAAATTCACCCCACCCTGTTTCAGTAACTTGATAAGGTGGTGATTCAAGTGTTCGAACAGGATTATCATACGTTTCATGTAATTTAAATGTAACTTTCTTAATCAATGGTGTTAAATCAATATCTCCTAAAACAGGTTTGAAAAACACTGTCCATTCGTGAGTATGTTCTGCCGGTGTTGTTGGCTTTCTCCTTTCAGGTGCAAGTTTCACAGCATGATTACCATATAAAATAGGTACAGATACAGACACAAATTTGATTCTTCTTGAATGTGCACTCATTGTAGGAGGGGAGGAGATAATAGTTTGATGAATTAAAGTTGCATAGATATTAGAGGGTTTATTCTTTTTTTCTTTGAAGAAGAAGAATTTGTTTTGATTTTTGTTTTTTAGATACGCACTATATATACGTGATATGGTGCACGTGTTTGCATGCACGAGGAATATTCTACAATCAAGAAAATAATGATTGTTATAATGTTAAAATATAATAAAAAAAACTACCAAATTCAAACACGACAGTATATTTTTCTAATTTTCTTTTTCAAATTTCTTCTTCTCTTCGTCTCTTTGTTTCTTGTGAGCCAACCATTTCATAGCAAATGGTAAAGCTGCATTACTAACAATGATCCATGCAATCAATATACCAACGTTTCTTCCAACATGTGCTTTCCGTGCATTAAAATAAGCAACTTGTAAAAGATCATAGAAATTTTTCAACGGAATTGCATAACCATAACGGTAGAATTTAGGACAAAGGACAATTGGTGAGACTGTTGGTGACAAATTTGTGACAACCATGTAAACAAGGACAAAACCAATAAATGGAGGGGTTGTAGCAAAACAAATCTGCACCAAAACTTCAATAATACTTCCAACCGATGACATAAGTAAAAATGAAAAACACCACAATACTAAGAATCCTGAATGGCCAAAAGTAACGTTAAATGGAAGCTGAAACGAAGTATTCAAAATGATGTATCCAAAAGAAATGAAAACATATGATATCTGTGTTGTAATCATTTTGAATATAACAAATGATGCACCGGTGACTTTCGAAGCTAAGTACATATTGATCTCTAAGCAGAA